ACCCTTCCAGTATTTCCTGTTTGTCATGGGTGATCTGTGTGCCAAGTTTGGTCCAATTCCATTGTTGGTAGAGTTCAGAATGCTCTTTGAATGTAGGCGAACTATAAATCTCAGCAACTACAACTCCCAAATGTCAAGGTTTATTTTCCCAGTGTTTACATTTCACCAGTGTTTACATTTGAGCATACTGAATATTCCTGCCAAGTTTGATCCAGATCGATCATTGTTTGAGTCCACAGTGCTCTCTGGATGTAGGTGAACTATAACTCCAAAACTCAAGGTCAATGTCCACCAAAACCTTCCAGTATTTTCTGTTGGTCATGGGAGTTCTGTGTGCCAAGTTTGGTTCAATTCCATTGTTGGTAGAGTTCAGAATGCTCTTTGATTGTAGGTGAACTATAAATCCCAGCAACTACAACTCCCAAATGACAAAACCAATCCTCCCATCCCAATCCCACCAGTATTCAAATTTGGGCATATTGGGTATTTGTGCCAAATTTGGTCCAGTGAATGAGAATACATCCTACATATCAGATATTTACATAACGATTCATACCAGTAGCAAAATTACAATTATGAAGTAGCAATGAAAATAATTTAATGGCTGGGGGTCACCACAACATGAGGAACTGTATTAAGGGGTCGCGGCATTAGGAACGTTGAGAACCACTGCTATAAAACCATGAACTTAGCCACTGCTAATCCACTTTAAAAGCCAGGAATCCTTGGAGACGAGGCCACATAAGACAGGAATATTCAGGAAACTTGACTTGATACCAAACGATGCCTGGTCTAAAGAAAATACACTAAGAGCTCAATTTAAGTCCCAAAACCTGGTTCCTACTCCCCCCAGTTTTTGGCCTTAACTGCCGAATTCTTTCTGACCTGCGTAAACATTGGGCCTCTCGGCGAATAGAATCAAAGAGTTGGAATAGACCTCATGGGCCATCCAGTCCAACCCCCTGCCAAGAAGCAGGAATATTGCATTCAAATCACTCCTGACAGATGGCCATCCAACCTCTGTTTAAAAGCTTCCAAAGAAGGAGCCTCCACCACACTCCGGGGCAGAGAGTTCCACTGCTGAACGGCTCTCACAGTCAGGAAGTTCTTCCTCATGTTCAGATGGAATCTCCTCTCTTGTAGTTTGCAGCCATTGTTCCGCGTCCTAGTCTCCAAGGAAGCAGAAAACACTTGCTCCCTCCTCCCTGTGGCTTCCTCTCACATATTTATACATGGCTATCATATCTCCTCTCAGCCTTCTCTTCTTCAGGCTAAACATGCCCAGTTCCCTAAGCCGCTCCTCATAGCGCTTGTTCTCCAGACCCTTGATCATTTTAGTCGCCCTCCTCTGGACACATTCCAGCTTGTCAATATCTCTCTTGAATTGTGGTGCCCAGAATTGGACACAATATTCCAGGTGTGGTCTAACCAAGCAGAATAGAGGGGTAGCATGACTTCCCTAGATCTAGACACTATGCTCCTATTGATGCAGGCCAAAATCCCATTGGCTTTTTTTTCCCGCCACATCACATTGTTGGCTCATGTTTAACTTGTTGTCCACGAGGACTCCAAGATCTTTTTCACACGTACTGCTCTCGAGCCAGGCGTCCCCATTCTGTATCTTTGCATTTTTTTTTTCTGCCTAAGTGGAGTATCTTGCATTTGTCACTGTTGAACTTCACTTTGTTAGTTTTGGCCCATCTCTCTAATCTGTCAAGATCGTTTTGAATCCTGCTCCTGTCCTCTGGAGTATTGGCTATCCCTCCCAATTTGGTGTCATCTGCAAACTTGATGATCATGCCTTCTAACCTTCATCTAAGTCATTAATAAAGATGTTGAACAGGACCGGGCCTAGGATGGAACCCTGTGGCACTCCACTCATCACTTCTTTCCAGGATGAAGAGGAAGCATTGGTCAGCACCCTCTGGATTCGTCCACTTAACCAATTACAGTTCCACCTAACCGTAGTTTTGCCTAGCCCACATTGGACTAGTTTCCTTGCCAGAAGGTCCAGGTGGACCTTGTTGAAAGCCTTACTGAAATCATCTTTTCCAGAATCTTGCCCGGTATCGACGTGAGGCTGTCCGGACGGTAGTTGTTTGGGTCATCCTTTTATGATTCTGGCTGATTTCCAGACAGCGACTGGTCTTATCTATCTGTGGAAAGTTCTTCTCAACATGGAAAGTGTGATTTTGTGTCACTGTGCCTGACATTGTTTATTGAAGAACAACTTTCTACTACATAGAAATTGTGATTTTGGAAACTGAAGTTTCATTATATGACATTCAACAATATTTGAGTTACTATTTCTAACGTCATGTACCTATGAAGAATCTCCTGGTATATAGTAATTGTTATTTTGGAAGCTCTAGTTTCACTGTGTTGACAAAGTATTGATAAACTATCTTCTATTTATATAGAGTCTCTAATTAATCGTGTGAATGTTCACATGTTACATTCAATGCAGAATTTCTTGGAACATAGAAATTGTGAATTGCAATCTACAGTTTTTGCAATAGTCCTCAAACTACAGCCCGGGGGCCGGATACGGCCCTCCAAGGCCATTTACCCGGCCCTCGCTCAGGGTCAACCTAAGTCTGAAATGACTCAAAAGCACACAACAACAACAACAATCTCATCAGCCAAAAGCAGGCCCACACTTCCCACTGAAATACTAATAAATTTATATTTGTTAATGTTGTTCTTCATTTTAATTATTGTATTGTTTGTAAGATATGTGCAGTGTGCATAGGAATTCATTCATATTTTTTTCAAATTATAATCTGGCCCTCCAACAGTTTGAGGGCCTGTGACCTGGCCCTCTGTTTAAAAAGTTTGTGGATCCCTGGATTACACTATGCAACAAAATTTGAAAAATTTTCTGTTCCTGGTTTGAAAGTCTTATTTCCTGTTTTAATTGTATGGTACTTACTTTGAAAGTAATTGTTCTACTCCAGAAACTTTGTTTTTGTGGCTGCCACAAACTACATTGAACTGGTTGAGACTCTATGATATATTAATTGAAAAACTAGCACAAAATGTGCTGCAGAATGCCTCACAAAAACAAAAGTTTTTGCAGTTTAATAAATTTTTCCATGTTTTTATGGTAAATTACCAATTTTACCATAAAAATTCCTAATTTCCCAATAGGAAATTCCTAATTTCCCAATGTCAATAAGGAAATGACATTTATAACCCAGGGACAAAAATCATGTTACACCAATTTTGTTCTCTGCGTTATGACACCAGTTTGTTACAAAAATAGCAGACTGGAGGCAGCCACCTGCATTTCCACCTAGTAAGGGTGGAGCCCCCGGTGGCGCAGTGGGTAAACCCCTGTGCTGGCAGGACTGAAGATCAACAGGTCGCAGGTTTGAATCCGGGGAGAGGCAGATGAGCTCCCTCTATCAGCTCCAGCTTCTCATGTGGGGACATGAGAGAAGCCTCCCACAAGGATGATAAAAACATCAATCATCCAGGCGTCCCCTGGGCAACGTCCTTGCAGATGGTCAATTCTCTCACACCAGAAGCGACTTGCAGTTTCTCAAGTCGCTCCTGACACGACAAAAAAAAAAAAACTAGTAAGGGAATGGGGTTCAACCTGTTTTATGGGAGGAGAAGGGTAAGTGTACTTGACTAGAGGGAAAAAACAACATATGCAGCAATCTGTTGCACTGACTTGTATTTACAGAATCTATGAAAATCCATACTTTGAACATTTGGCAGTGGAAACAGATTTATACAAAATAAGCAAACCCAGAGACAATACGGGTTTCTCTAGGACAGCATTTTTCAACCTGGGGGTCGGGACCCCTGGGGGGCCACAAGGGGGTGTCAGAGGGATCACCAAAAACCATCAGAAAACACAGTATTTTCTGTTGGCCCTGAGGATTCTGTGTGCCAAGTTTGGTCCAATTCTATTATTGGTGGAGTTCAAAATATTCTTTGATTGTAGGTGAACTATAAATCCCAGTAGCTACAACTCCCAAAGGTCAAGGTCTATTTTCCCCAAACTCCACAAATTTGGTCCAGATCCACCATTGTTTGGGTCCACAGTGATCTCTGGATGTAGGTGAACTACATCTCCCAAACTCAAAGTCAATGCCCACCAAACTCTTCCAGTATTTTCTGTTGGTCATGGGAGTTCTGTGTGCCAAATTTGGTTCAATTCCATCATTGCTGGAGTTCAGGATGCTCTTTGATTGTAGGTGAACTATAAACCCCAGCAACTACAACTCCCAAATGACAAAATCAATCCCCACCCCCAATCCCACCAGTATTCAAATTTGGGCGTATCAGATATTTGTGCCCAGTTTGGTCCACTAAATGAAAATGCATCCTGCATATCAGATATATACATTATGATTCATAACAGTAGCAAAATTACAGTTATGATGTAGCAACTAAAGTAGTTTTATGGTTGGGGGTCACCACAACATGAGGAACTGTATTAAGGAGTTGCGGCATTAGGAAGCTTGAGAACCACTGCTCTAGGAGAATTATCTCCATCTTGGCAGTGCTGTTACATAACAAGAGGCAGCATGGTTTGAGGACAGCTGAAGTATAACATAAAGCATAAAACACAAGGCAGGGGGTTTTACCTGGAAGATCAAGATATGCTGAAATTGTATTATAGAGTTGGAAGACACCCCAAGGCCTGCCCAGTCCTACTCCATTCTGCCATGCAGGAATACATCAAAGCACTCCCAACAGATGATCATCAGCCTCTGTTTAAGAACCTCCAAAGAAGGAGACTCCACCACACTCCCATGCATTGTATTCCACTATTGAACAGCTTTCTTTCAAATCAAAAAGTTTTTCCCCCAGCAAAAATGATTTAGAGGAATAAAATAGTAGGAGAATCCATTCTCAAAAGAAAAAAAAGGGGTAAACCCGTCGCACAGAACCATAACGTACTGTGACTGAAAGCTGAGAGAAGCAAACTGGATAGTAGGAGATACTTGTGACTAAGAATGCATCACCTCTTGAACTAGTCTCCATTTCCCTTTCCCAGTTCAGTGAGCTCTACTCCCCTAATACACAGAATGGCACCCTGCACCATCGCAGTCAGTATAATTCTGTACCAAGGAGTAGAAGGCTTTCCAGATAGCTGGATCACGACAGCAGACGATGCCACCTCCACGGTGTTCCTCTGCACAATTGCGGTTCATGTCCCCAACACAGGCCCAGCCAGGATCACTCTCGGTCCCCACACACCACTTGGAATGGTCTGACATGGAGGGGAAGCTTGTGGCCGGCTCCTGGAAGGCCACTTCCTCCACATTATAGACCCTGAAGTGTCCAGAACAGTTGGAAGGCAGGATCCCCGAAGACCTGTGCCAGAACTCAACGTAGAGGTCACTGGCAAGAGCCTGGGCCAGCCAGCCAGAGTACAAATCTGAAAGAGTAATATACAAAACACAATAATAATAAATAATAAACTTTATTTATACCCTCGCCACCATCTCCCCGATGGGGCAGCTTACATGAGGCCAAGCCCAAACAACAAATTACAGCAGAATAAAACCAAAAATGCAAACCGAAGACAATAAACAACAACTTCATAATTACATAAAACATGTGAATGCATAACAATATGCAAACCGGGATTGTGGCGCAGCTGGCTGAGTGTCAGCTGCATTAAGATCACTCTGACCAAAAGGTCATGAGTTCGAAGCCAGCCCGGGTTGGAGTGGGTTTCCAACCAATTGTGTAGCCTGTTGTCGACCTTTGCAACCCGAAAGACAGTTGCATCTGTCAAGTAGGAAAATTAGGTACCACCTTAAAGTGTGGGGAGGCTAAATTAACTAATTTATGAGGCCATAAAAAAGACTCCAGCAAGCACTCCAGCAAAAAGCATGCGGGGAATGCGGAAGTACTTCATCAGTGTCGCAGATGGACGATGAAAGCGACAGCTCCCCTGGCGGCCAGAAAAAGTTAAATAGCCTCTGTCTATGTCTGTATATGTTGTATGTCAAAAATTGGCATTGAATGTTTGCCATATATGTGTACACTGTAATCCGCCCTGAGTCCCCTGCGGGGTGAGAAGGGCGGAATATAAATGCTGTAAATAAATAAATAAATAAATAAATAATGAATAAAATTACAATAAACACAATCACAGTGACAATGGGCGGGCTACATGTAATGATTAAAAGAAAAACTAATTAAAAACTTGGGTGAGATAATGGAGAAGCAGGTTATTCACGGAAGAGGATTCATTATAGTGGGGGTTGTGGAATCACGTATACTCCAAAGACAGAAAGTTGAGGCTAAGCAATAGTGTGAGGTTGTATACCTACTCATCAAAGGTGCAATGGAAGAGCCAGGTTTTAAGGTTCTTTTTAAAGGTTTCTAGGGTAGGGGCTTTCCTAATCTCTCCAGGTAATGAGTTCCAGAGTCGGGGGGCCACAGAAGAAAAAGCTCTCTCCCTTGTGCTTACAAGGCGAGCTTGTGAAACTAGCAAGGGCAAAAGAAGGGCCTTCCCAGAAGACCGGAGGGCCCGAGTTGGTACATGGAGGGAGATACAGTCACGAAGGTAGGCAGTTCATGTCATGGGGATGATATAGGAGTCCCCTGTGTCACAATTGGTTAAACTCTTGTGCGGGCAGGACTGTTGACCGACAGGTCAGTGGTTTGAATCTGGGGAGAGCTGGTTGAGCTCCCTCTGTCAGCTCTAGCTCCCCGTGTGGTGACATGAGAGAAGCCTCCCAAAAGGATGGTAAAAAATATCAAACATCTGGGTGTCCCCTGGGCAATGTCCTTCCAGATGACCAATTTCTCTCATACCAGAAGCAACATGCAGTTTCTCAAGTCGCTCCTGACACCAAAAAAAATGGGGATGACATAACCACCTTCCTTTTAAGCTTATTTCATTCTCTACTGCTCCCACCACGTCCCTTTTCACTTGTCCCAATCCATCACTTACCATCACCGAAGAAGCGAAATTTGGCAAAGCTGACAAATTCTTTGCCCCCAACTGATGTCAACGGGACACTGGAGTTCCACGGCTCTTTCTGAACGTGCCGCCCCTCCGATGCATTCAGCAATGCTGGCAGATCCTGGGCAAAAGTGCCTTCCACGCGACAATCATAAACGTGGGGTTCAGTGAAGAGAAGCTGTTTCCCTGGAACAAAACAACATGATGTGTAATGTGAGGTGTGCAAACTGGCCTGCAGTTCCATCTATCCAGAAACAGAGAAGAGGCTCCTGGAAGAGAACAACAAAAGCAAGCAACCAGCAGATGTGTCAGGGTGGCAGGGAAGGACAGGAGGACCATTTCAAGTCAAATGTTTGTGTGGAAACACACAAGAAAGGGTGCAGAGCAGCCTGTCCCTCCTAGGAAGGACTGGTAGACTTGTTTTCCTCGTTCTTTAGGGAGAAAATGGCATTTGTATATTTGTATGGCACCCCTCTCTGCCTTCCGGCGACTCGAGGCAGTTTACAAGGCAAAATTCAATGCCACCAAAAACACAATTACAATATGAAAACGTCAACATCAATAAAATAACACTGTAATAAAACATAATTCAATAAGTGCTCATTAAAACAATATCCAGTCCCATCATGTAGTTGTTCTGTTCTTATGTCCGTTACTCAGTATTCACGAATGCCTGCTCGAATATCCATGCCTTAAGTTTCTTCCGAAATGCTAGAAGCGAAGAATCCAATCTGATCTCCCTAGGAAGGGCGTTCCATAGCCGAGGGGCCACCACTGAGAAGGCCCTGTCTCTCGTCCCTGCCAGCCGTGCTTGTGATGATGGCGGGACTGAGAGCAGGGCCTCTCCAGAAGATCTTAAAGTCCTCGAAGGTTCATAAGGGGAGATTCGTTCGGACAGGTTAATTGGGCCAGAACCATTTAGGGCTTTAAAGGTTAAGCAAGCACTTTGGATTAATAATCTATATAAATAAAAATGTAATGTTCGTTTGTGGGGTTAACAGAACTCAAAAACCACTGGACGAATTGACACCAAATTTGGACACAAGACACCTAACAACCCAATGTATGTCCTTCACTCAAAAAAATGATTTTGTCATTTGGGAGTTGTAGTTGCTGGGATTTATAGTTAACCTGCAAACAAAGAGCATTCTGAAACCCCACCAACAATGGAATTGAACCAAAGTTGGCACACAGAACTCCCATGACCAACAGAAAATACTGGAAGGGTTTGGTGCATTGACCTTGAGTTTGGGAGTTGTAGTTCACCTACATCCAGAGAGCACTGTGGCTCAAACAATGATGGATCTGGACCAAACTTGACACAAAAATATGCCCATATGTGAACACTGATGGGGTTTTGGGAAAATAAACTTTGACATTTGGGAGTTGTAGTTGCTAGGATTTATAGTTCACCTACAGTCAAGGAGTTGTCTGAACCCCACCAATGATAGAATTGGGCCAAACTTCCCACACAGAACCCGCATGACCAACAGAAAATACTGTGTTTTCTGATGGTCTTTGGCGACTCCTCCGACACACCTTCGCGACCCCCCCATCGGTCCCAACCCCCAGGTTGAGAAACACTGACCTAAGGAGAAACACTGCCTAGGCTAGGCTGGATTATCTTGCAGTTTTTGTGTTCATGGTTTCCAGGACTTTGTCATGTTCTCTTGGGCCTTGCTTTGCTGATGCCAATTGGATTATGCTTCAAGTGCTATGTTATCTTGATCTTTTGGAACATTTACCTTTGTTTTTATGAACTTTTAACCTTTTATATTTAATAAACCATAAAGACTTCTGGTTGTGTCCAGTTTGGTGTTTTTCAGCAAGGTGAATCTACTCTGAGGTGAAACAAAAACACCTTGAAGGCTGAAGTTTGCCTAAACCTGCTATAAAATCACAAGGGAGTACCTAAAGATTCCTGAAGAGATCATATTAATTAATATATGAGGGGTATTTTTTAAGTAAGGTCCGTTTTGTTGTAGACACTAGTAGTTTGCGTGCATACCGCAACAAGCACGTGTGTCGTGTACCCGGCATGCCTCGGGAACAACTGTGCTCAGTTTCCGCTCTGTAGCTAACCTGTACGGTTCTGTTCTGTGCTTTAAAAATGTTTAAGACTATCAACTCACCCTCCGCATGTGAGGTTCGCTCAGTGATACGGTTTTTGTCAGCAAGGAACCTGCCTGCTGCAGAAATTCATCAACAGATTTGTGAAGTGTGCGGTGATACTGTTATGAGTGAAAGCAAAGTGCATAAGTGGATATGACAATTCAAAGATGGCTGTGACAACGTCCATGATGAGGACCGCTCCGGTCGCCCTTCTTTGATTACAGACGGCAGTGAACTCTTGGTTATCGGAGCAGGCGGCAAGATTTTAAGAAGAGGGTATTTTAAAATTGGTTCAGAGGTATGATAAGTGTTTGAACAAACTTGGCAACTATGTCGAAAAATAGAGTGAAGTATGTACTTTCTGCAAATAAATTTACTTTTTTGAAATAAACTTTCGTTGTGTACTTATGTTCCAACGGACCTTACTTAAAAAATACCTCTCGTATATTTAGGGAAACTGTACACCGGAAAATCAGTCTACCTCTTTTCTACAGAGGTTGCTCCAACTTCTGATATTCCAGTAGTTTATAATCTGTACCCATTCAAATCCCCAGAAAATCTCATACACACCCACCTACCTATGTCTTTGAACTGGTTGTAAGAGTAGGTGACACACAGGAAGGTCTGCCCATAGAGCAGTGCACTGTGGGGCCAGGTATACTCCTTTTCATCTAGACTTGGAGGGAAGTGAGGAGTGCTATGAAGAAGCCAGAAACCCTGGTTCTGATCCAGAAGGATGGCACCTAAGGATGGAAAAACAGTGATGAACCTTCACTCATAAATTCAGAGATCCTTCGAGCCACAGCTAGGTCTCTTGATAGCTGGTCTGGCCACAAGAAATCCACCATACTGCACTAGAGACAAGTAAGTTGATAGAAAGACTGTTACACTAGAGCACTGAAACACCTTCCCACCGCAAACCACACTCTGTCCAGATAATCCAGTAAGTAAAAATTCATTTAAAGAAGAGTATATAATAAATAAGCCAATTCAAAAGAGAGAACGAAAGTTCAAATGATTATTTCTAATATAGCCGAGAGTTCAAAATCCTTTCAAGTACAATGTCCAGAATCAATTCACAAAAATATCCATAAACAAGATAGCATGAATACAAGACAGGCAACCCATGCCTCACATGAACTAGAAGCAAGAACAAACTTATAAACCTGAATACATGAATTCCAATAACATAGGAACAAAAACCAAGAGATGTTCACCTGAATACAACGTTGCTTTCACAAAGGATTCTACCAGAAGGTACCACATTAAAATGCAGTGCCCAAATGCAAATCAAGGAACAGGAAAGCCACTGCAGACTACGTCAATCAGAGAAGTCAGCCATAGCAGAGCACCTGATGGACCAACCTGGACACAGCATATTATTTGAGAACACAGAAATGCTGGACCACTCCAACAACCACCATGTCAGATATAAAGGTTATCCCAGGAAGGATCACACCAAGGATCTCCTTTTAGCAGGGAGAGGGAACAGGGAATTCTGAAAATGTGAATCCCACAAGCTACCAACCTTTTATAAGGAATATCACAGGGGAGATTTATAAAACAGGGAAAAATATATTTGAATGACGTCTGAACTGAGAAGTTTTGTAACTGTTTCTTCAATTGGGGTACGCTGCCACCTTATTGCTTAGTATTCAGGCTGAGTTATATGTGTGGAGAGGATACTTAGTAACACCCTTCTGTGTTACTATGGTGTTTATTTTCCTCAGAGGGTTTAAATACCAATGACGTCCACACACAGGCTGTTGTAATGTATTAATATAATAAAACGTTTATTTAACAGGCTTAAACTCTTCTGGTACAAATGCGTAATGGTTTCTGTAAGTTAATGGCACAAAAGCTTTTGGTTACGTTTGATGTACAATTCTTAGATGGGTACTGGGTTCAAATCTAGAGTTAACAAACAGGAGGTTATCTCAGGAAACTAATCTCTGATGATAATTCCAAACCAAATTCCCAATTTCTGGAATCTAACAACCTTGGCCTAGTCTTCCTCAGGAATAAAAGAAACAGACCATAAGCAAGGTCCTGTTCCCACTGTCAGTATTCCTGGCTAATTCCTCTAGCCCTTAAATACTACAAAAGATTAACCCAATTCTCCTATCTAGCAATATCCAACCGACTACCTAACTCCAAACTGACAAATCCCAACTGCCAAAACTCAAGCCTCCAATTCAAAAAGTACACTTTTTCCTCTATTTGAATATTAGGCTCCGCCCCCTATTCCTAACCAATCCTGGCCATCTACTCTTTGCTTACAGGACTAGGACACGCCCCCTCTAAGAAAACCTGACCTAAGATGGCGTCTCCCTGTTTCCCTATCCTAAGATGGCCACCAGGGCTTCGCTAGGCCCATATTCTAACCGTTCAGGCCGACAGGCTTCGCTAGGCCCACATTCTGGCTGCTAAAGGTAAGGGTTCTTCACATCAGACTACACAGTGAAGCCATTGAAATCCATAAGCATGTGGACAATTTCAACAGAAAGGAAGAAACAATGAAACTGAATAAAATCTGGCTACCAGTATTTAAACAGTCTAAAATTACAGCAGTAAAACAACACTCAAACACAGGGCAACTCCATAGAGGAAAACATTCAGGGACAGCTAATCACCTCTCAACAAAAGATTCCCCCAGGCACTAACAAGCCACACCAAAAAACTGTCAGACCATCAACTACTAATCAAGGTGGCCAACTGAAATATTTACACAGACAAGAGTACTTTCTCCTACCCTGGACATTCCACAGATATATATACCCAAATTTCCTAGTTCCAACAGACCTCACAACCTCTGAGGATGCCTGCCATAGATGAAGACAAAATGTCAGGAGAGAATGCTTTTAGAACATGGCCATATAGCCCAAAAAACCTACAACAACCCACTTTAAAAGGCCTCAATCCCTCCCAAAACATCATTTCTCAAACACCTGTTTTTCCTCTCCTTATCTCTAAGCCTCTGGGAAAAGCGAGTCTGTCTTTGTTGCATGCTGCCTCTGCAGTTCCAAGCGCCTTGACCTAGACAAACATTCGTCTCCCACATTTCTCTCAGCCTGCACTTCTGGCAAGTTCTCATGAGAACTGATATCACTTTCTTCAGTCTCGTGGAAACTGCCAGGAGATTCCAAAACAATTCTCTCTAGGCCCCTTCTATTCTTTGTGAATCTATCCCAGCATCCCCCCTCTTCATCTTCTGACCACTCAGAATCTGACCAGGCTACCATAAAGACATCACTAGTAATAATGGAGAAGAAATCTCATCCACCGCCAGGACGAAAAATAATAGGTGTACCCCTGAGGGTGCATCCAGAGCACAAGCACTACCTTTTGTATGGCCCTTGAGGGTGGAAGAATGGTTTTTGGGAGGAGCATCATTGTATAGGACATAGGCAGTTTCCTCCTGGAAGCCAAAGAAAATAGAAAAGTAGTTAAAAGTGCAGTCTTCCTTCCACATTTGCAGGTTTGACTTTTATGGATTTGATTATCCACCGATTTGATGAAAATGTTATCTTTAGGAATCTCTAGGTCTTAAAGATAGCATTCCCTCACTGGCGGGAAGGATAGTAGAGGCAAAGATGAAATACGAGGGATATTTTTTAAGTAATGTCCGTTGGAACATAAGTACACAACGAAAGTTTATTTCAAAAAAGTAAATTTATGTTCAGAAAGTACATACTTCACTCTATTTTTCGACATAGTTGCCAAGTTTGTTCAAACACTTATCATACCTCTGAACCAATTTTAAAATACCCTCTTCATAAAAACTTGCCGCCTGCTAAAGCCACCAAATCGTCTGTAATCAAAGAAGGGCGACCGGAGCGGTCCTCATCATGGACGTTGTCACGGCCATCTTTGAATTGTTGTACCCACTTATGCACTTTGCTTTCACTCATAATATTATCACCCATACACTTCACAAATCTGTCGATGAATTTCTGCAGCAGGCAGATTCCTTGCTGATAAAAACCGTGTCACTAAGCGAACCTCACATGTGGCGGGTGAGTTGATAGTCTTAAACATTTTTAAAGCACAGAACACAACTGTACAGGTTAGCTACAGAACGGAAACTGAGCACAGTTGTTCCCGAGTCATGCCGGTACATGACGCATGCGCTCGTTGCGGTATGTGCGCGAACTACTAGTGTCTACAACATAACGGACCTTACTTAAAAAATACCCCTTGTACTTTGGCCATACCATAAGAAGACAGGAAAGCTTAGAGAAGACAACTATGCTGGGGAAAATGGAAGGAAAAAGGAAGAGGGGCCGACCAAGGGCAAGATGGATGGATGGGATCCTTGAAGTGACTGGCTTGACCTTGAAGGAGCTGGCGGTGGTGATAGCCGACAGGGAGCTCTGGCATGGGCTGGTCCATGAGGTCACGAAGCATCGGAAACGACTGAATGAATGAACAACAACAACAAAGGTCCTAGAGAGAACCTGATCCTAGAGAGAACACCAGTGTGATTATATGGTCAACATTCAGCAGAAGTAGACCACTGAGCCATGATAGGAGATTCCTAGAGAGCTGTTCTCTCAAGTTAAGAAACATAGCATTTAAGAAATTCATGGCTTTTCACTTTCACAGACTTTCTGTGCTCCTGATCCCAGTAAATTTGAAGGGCTGACTACTTTTCTCTATCATTCAGACACAACCCGAGACATTTGAGGCTGTGGCAAAAAGATGCCCAACTTGTACCTACTTGCTTGATAGATTGTCAGGTTTTACAATGTATTGTAATGTAATATAGCTGAGTCATGCACTGCTAATAGGCTTCTATTGGAAATGCTGAGTCATGCATTAACTGTATCTAGGGAATCATTTGGGGAATGTGTTCTGGCCTAGTCCAGGTGATTGTGAATGATGTAATCCTGGGTCTGAGTTAAGTCAATGAGTTGGGAACCAATCAGTGAATTGTATATAAGGAAGTCATGTACAGTGTATACTCTCTCCTTGTGCTGTGATGCTGTTTGTCGAAGGCTCTATGTCATTAAAGAACCTGTCTGCTAAGTCAAGATATAACTGTGTGCTGTGGTAAGTTTGTAATGTCATCTAGACTGGGGGGAAACAATAGTAAAACTGACAATGGCCGGGCATGTGCTCAAGTGTCTGTAAAAGAGTTCCAGAGTGACTGCAGTTTGTGGGAGCAGTTGACTGAAAATACTGTGCAGGAAGAAGCTACTGGAAAGCGCTGAAGTTGTGCAACTGATCTGCTGCTGAATTGTGAAATTAATCTCAACCTTTAGTGAACCAATAATAATAATAATAATAATAATAATAATAATAATAATAATCTTTATTTATACTCCGCCCCCATCTCCCCAAGGGGACTTGGTGTAGCTTACTTGAGGCCAAGCCCACCAATATATACATCAGTATAAACCAACACAGCAATAAAATAAAACAAAAAGTAAAAATACCATACAAAACCATTATAAATTATAAATAACATATCAGCAATAAAACACAACATTTAAAAACACAAGGATCCAACACTGTTGGCAAGGCCTATTCTAATAGATTAAAAATTTAAAAACACTGGGTGTGACAGCAACAAAATTAGTCTGAATAGAGGTTTTTGAGGGTGAGGTAGAGTTGATGGCCCCAACAGGTAGAATAAAGTGCTTCAGAGGACATTTTGCAGAGGATTGGTCAAATCAGGGAATTATTGTTCTTTCATTCAGAGAAGCCACAACCAGTATCATAGAATCATCGAATCATAGAATCAAAGAGTTGGAAGAGACCTCATGGGCCATCCAGTCCAACCCCCTGCCTAGAAGCAGGATTATTGCATTCAAAGCACCCCTGACAGATGCCTCTGCTTAAAAGCTTCCAAAGAAGGAGCCTCCACACACTCTGGGGCAGAGAGTTCCACTGCTGAACGGCTCTCACAGTCAGGAAGTTCTTCCTCATGTTCAGATGGAATCTCCTCTCTTGTAGTTTGAAGCCATTGTTCCGCGTCCTAGTCTCCAAGGAAGCAGAAAACAAGCTTGCTTCCTCCTCCCTGTGGCTTGAACGGAAGCTTGCTTGGGCAGAAACTATCTCTGCCTTCGGGGCCACATTTTGTATTAGCTGCCCCTAGTGTGGGTTATAGGACTATTGCAATGCGCTCTACGTGGGGCTGTCCTTGAAGACGGCCCGGAAATTCCAATTGGTCCAATGGGCGACAGCGAGATTATTAACTGGTGCGAATTATAGAGAGCGGTCAACCCTCCTGTTTAAGGAGCTCCACTGGCTGCCATTTATTTTCTAGGCCCAATTCAAGGTGCAGGTTTTGACCTACAAAGCCCTGAATGGTTTGGGACCCGCCTACCTGCGCGAGCGCATTTCCGTCTACAAACCCACACGACCTCTTTGATCTTCTGGAGAGATCCTTCTCTTGCTCCCGCCCGCATCGCAAGTGCGACTTACGGGGACGAGAAAGAGGGCCTTCTCTGTGGTGGCCCCACGGCTCTGGAATTCACTCCCCAGAGATATTAGGCAAGCCCTAATAGTTGCAGGAGGAACCTGAAAACCTGGTTATTCCAATGTGCCTTCAATAATTGAATGTAGGACACTCCCTGACCAAACTTGGCATAAAATGACCTCAGAAGCACTTTATTTTATGGTTCGTGCAATTAGATCCTTCCTCATCCCCGGATCCCCCTTCCCGACACTTTTAAATTGCCATATCTCCCAGTGTTTTAAAATTTTATCTTTGAATTTGGCCCCACCCAGTGTTTTAATGTTTGATTTTATATTGCTGGATTGTCTATTATATTGGTTTTGCATTTTATGTATTTTATTTTCTGGTTTTGTTATGTTTTTGTGTAATATTGTGTTTATTGTACTGATGGGCATGGCCTCATGTAAGCTGCCCCGAGTCCCCCTGGGGGAGATGGAGTGGGGTATAAATAAAGTATTATTATTATTATTATTATTATTACTACTACTACTACTACTACTATTATTATTACCGGGATTGTGGCGCAGCTGGCTGAGTGTCAGCTGCATTAAGATCATGAGTTCGAAGCCAGCCCGGGTTGGAGTGGGTTTCCAACCAATTGTGTGTAGCCTGTTGTCGACCTTTGCAACCCGAAAGACAGTTGCATCTGTCAAGTAGGAAATTAGGTACCACCTTAAAGTGTGGGGAGGCTAAATTAACTGATTTATGAGGCCATAAAGAAGACTCCAGCAAAACATTCCAGCGGGGAAGCATGCGGGGAATGCGGAAGTGCTTCATCAGCGTCGCAGATGGACGATGAAAGCGACAGCTCCCCTGGCGGCCAGAAAAAGTTCTGTGTATGTCTGTATATGTTGTATGTTAAAATTGGCATTGAATGTTTGCCATATATGTGTACACTGTAATCCGCCCTGAGTCCCCTGCGGGGTGAGAAGGGTGGAATATAAAAGCTGTAAATAAATAAAAACATAAATTATTATTATTGTTAGGGCAGCTTTTCTTTTCCCCTTCTCTCTGACTCACCTGCCTCCGTATTGCCACTGTGTATAGTTGTTGCAGGGTCCGACCCACGGCTCCCTTGGTACTGTTCATCAGACTCCTGCCTTGTACCCAACCCTGGGTATTTTCATCTTGATACATGTATTGCATGCCCTCCGCTGGAGGGCTATGGTGAGGCTGGGGTAACTTGTAGACAATAAACCTGAAAACCAAACCCACACAGATCACAAATTTATCATAGACGAGGTCGCACCAGTCTTTATTCATTTTTCACATGAGTCACAGGTAAGCAAGATGGCTATAATATAAATATAATATAAACAATCTAAATAATATAATAAAAATAATAATATAAATAATCTATATAAATAAAAATGTAATGTTCGTTTGTGGGATTAACATAACTCAAATACTACTGGATGAATTGACACCAAATTTGGACACAAGACACCTATCAGGCCAACGAGTTACCATCACTAAATATATATATATATATGATTTTGTCATTTGGGAGTTGTAGTTGCTGGGATTTATAGTTCACCTACAATCAAGGAGCATTCTGAACTCCACCAGTGATGGAATTGAACCAAACTTGGCACACAGAACTCCCATGACCGACAGAAAATACTGAAAGGGTTTGGTGGGCACTAACCTTGAGTTTTGGAGTTATAGTTTACCTACATCCAAAGACCACTGTGGACTCAAACAGTGAAAGATATAGACAAAAATTGGCACAAATACTCCATATGCCCAAATATGAACACAGATGGAGTTTGAGGGAAATAGATCTTGACATTTTGGAGTTGTAGTTGCTGGGATTTATAGTTCATAATCAAAGAGCATTCTGAACTCCACCAACGATAGAATTGGACCAAACTTTCCACCCAGAACCACCATGACCAACAGGAAATACTGTGTTTTCTGGTGGTCTCTCATTACTCTTTGACACTTCCTCATCACCCCCCTGGCGTCCTGACCCCCAGAATAAGAAATGCTGCATTAAGGCCATCCAGTCCAACTCCCTTCACCAGGGCAAGAAAACATAACCAAAGCCCTCCTGACAAAGAGACATCCAGCCATAGATATAGATAGATATATACGATTCACACACACACACAGAGATATATATGTATATGACATATATAGTATCATAGATTTGAAAGGGACCCCTAAAGAAGGACAATGATATGTTGCCTGTTCCAGAGTAGGCAAACCAGACAATCTCCACATCAACACTGACAAAGAAACAACAAGAAATACTACTTGCCCACAAGCATAAAGAAATCACATATATTAGTAAACCAGCACTTTCTCATTACTTTATTTTCCAGATCACTAGGCTGGGCCACAGCAACGCGTGGCAGGGGACAGCTAGTTTATCATAGATGAGGTCGCACCAGTCTTTATTCATTTTTCACAAGAGTCACACGTAAGCAAGATGGCTATAATATAAATATAATATTATATAAACAATACAAATAATATAATATAAATAATAATAAATAATAAATAATAATATAAATAATATAATACAAACAAAGGTGTCAGGATAGAAATCAATTGAGATGTAAAATCGTGGAATTAACTTTAGAAGGAGAGGACTTCAATGAGAATGTTACACTCGATTTATCCCAGATCTACAAAGAAAAGAGGTTTGTAGCTCTTATAGAAAAAAAAAAAACACACTCTCTAGATTTGTGCAAAGAATAATCCAGAAAGCTTATGACTACCGGAGAAATAAAAGCCTGAGGAGGAAAAGGAAAATCTCTATTTTTATCTTCCTTTTTGTAAGTCAAAGAAGGGAAACTTTGGAAATCTTGTCTCCCACCATTACCCAGCTCTTCCCTTCCTTGCTATAAGACAGTGGTTCCCAACCTGTGGTCCATGGACCACCATAGAATCATAGAATCATAGAATCCTAGAGTTGGAAGAGACCTCATCGGCCATCCAGTCCAACCCCCTGCCAAGAAGCAGGACTATCGCATTCAAAGCACCCCTGACAGATGGCCACCCAGCCTCTGTTTAAAAGCTTCCAAAGAAGGAGCCTCCACCA